AAACCCATGAAATGGGTAGTGAGTAGGGGTGGAATTATTATCCGGGATCCGAGATCCGATCCGTTATCCGTTTGGAATCGCTCCAAAAATTAGGATATTCAGGGAGCCCGGATCCGGATAAGGATAGTAAAATTTAGAATCCGTGAAAAGAGGATCCGGATCAGGATAGCAAAATTTTAAGGTCCGGATATCCGGATCCGGACGCATTAAATATATTAAAACCATATATATTATATATCTATTAAACTAATTTTATATAAATAAATATATATAAAAAATGATTTTAGTTCTTTTTATAATAAATTATATTTATAATGAAAAAATACCATTTAAAATATTAACTAATAATTTTTAAAAATATATTTTTATTTATTTATTAATTATTTTAATTATTTTTAATATTAATTTCGGATCCGGATCCGGATATCCGCGGATATCCTGATTTTTGGGAAGATTCCTAGAGTCCGGATATCCGGAGGTCACGGTTCCGGATCCGGATAGTTTTTTCACGGATCCGACGATTCTGGATCTGAATCCGGATACTCTGAAATTCCAGGATATCTGGAATCGTCCCATCCCTATTAAACCGTGCACGAAAATGATTTTTTCTATATTTGGATATGATACTAATCAAATCCAAGTCCAACTAAATCTAATTTAGAGATTAAGTTGAACATCAAACATTCACGTGTACAAACACGTATAAGGTAATAATCAAATCTCCAGTGACTCGTCTTCATCAATTTATATCGCCGGAGCTCTATTGCGGATCACTGTATCAGTCATTGGAAGCGATTTTAGCCACCAAACTCTGCCACGAATCACCGTAGACAGCTTCAAAACAGTCTAAATCGGGTTTGACAAGATCCACTTCCTATCTTTTGAAATTAATCTCATCTCTAATTTTTTTCACCATCGGACACTTCTATCAACTACCTATTTAAGAGGCCTATGACCAATGCATAGAGGATTGAAGGCATCATTACTCCTAGATGTAAAAGACCTTGCAAATCGAAGAAAAAGAAGCTTCATCGCTATCGCCGGAGTGGAGATATCTGTAAGAGGTTTAAACACACAAAAAGACTTAAATCCGATCAAGTCAGAATTTATTATCCGTTAAACAGAAACGCAAAACCGATTGAAATCAGGGATAAACAAAATCCGATCAAGTCGCCTTGTTCACCTAGTCGCGTTTTAAATTTAGAATATTTCCGAAC